CCCACCCATGCCAGGTGAGCACTCTACTGCTGAGCCCCAGCCCCTCCATATATATATTTTAAAAGGCCACACATTTTCAGTTCCTCCCATTCAGAGAGAATCTGAATGACAGGGGTTGGCCAATGGACATGTGTCACAGTGACGAAAGCAAAGCCTGCTCACTGGTACCTGTCCTCTTGTTGCTAGTGAGCCAGGACTTAACCCTGGGCAGCCTGACTCCAGAATAGAGTCCTCAAGTGCTGCAAGGCCACCCCCCTTCTACCTCTAATGTGGCACATGACTGCCACAGTCACTGTGCCAGCTCTTTTGGGCGACAACTGAGCGAAGGACAGAAGGAACTGGAGAGCAGCATCCTTGCCAACAGCTCTGAGAACCGACTCAACCCAGCCGACCTCACTCACTGGCATCTTGCTTTGGGTGAAATATATTTCTTTCTTTTTAAGCTTTTTTTTTTCTTTCCATGTTGAGGATCAAAATGGGGTCCTTGAGTGTGCGAGGCACACCCACCTCTACCAGAGCTACACCCCCAGCTGGTGTTTATGCTATTGGACTCAGAAACCAGAGAGTATTCAGTAAAACCCACTGGGCTGCAGGGAGTATGTCCTCACCAACCGCGTGTCTGGCCTTTCACTTGGAGGACAGTTTCAAAGGCAAGAGATAGTTGTGAGGGTACAAGAAATCTCCCAGAGAAATAAAATTATTTCACAGTTGTTGTTTTTTTTTTTTTAATTAGGCACAAGGTGAGAACAGCTACTCATAGTTCCAAATCCATGGTATTGACCCAGTCCTGAACCCTGAGTATGCCCAGAACAGGCCTGAGGCTTTCCAAATGGCCATGACACAAACCCTGTGTAGTCCTGACCCCCAAAGATCCTCAGGGGCTAAGGGGACAGCAGACTTGGAACCCCATTCCCAAGCATTCCTTGAGTCCAATGAGAACCAGCCTCAGAGTGGGATTCTTGTGTCCTTTGGGCCCAAATCTTTGACCTAGGCCTGGAAGGAGAGTGTTTGTTTGTTTGTTTGTTTCTCCTATAGAACTGGGGACTGAACCCAGGGATTCTCTATCACTGAGCTCCATCCCCAGCCATTTTCAAATTTTATTTTCAGACAGGGTCTCATTCAGTTACCGAGGTTGGACTCAAACTTGCGATCCTCCTGCCTCAGCCTCCAGAGTCGCTGGGATTACAGAGCGAGCCACGTGCCCCTTAAGGAGAACGCCTTGATCAGGAGCAAAAAACAGCTAGAGCACCATTTCCAGCAGGGCCTGGGCTCTGCCTTTCTGAGGACAAAGGCTGGGACCTTTGGCATGGAGATGTGTCCCTTTCCTTGAAAGGCGGAAGATACAAAGGTAGCTGGGCTGTTTGGAAAAGGGACTGTCCTCAGGACAGAGGACCTGGCACCAGTACAAGTGGAGGCTGACCCTGGTACTAA